GGGGAGGGGGACAGGTGCCAGGTAGGTTAAGCCACAGGCACCCCCCAAGGCACGGTGCCGGGCAGGGAGGGGAGGGCACAGCTCTGAGCCCAGGCCTGTCTAACTCCACAGGCTTTGCTCATAATCTCGCGTCTAAGACTTTGTGGGAACTGGTAGGTACGGAGGTTTCTGAGTTTATACTTGAGTAAAAACTACCGGTCACGTGTTCGGTAATAATCCAGATTTTACTGCCTCCCTAGGCCCAGCCGAGTCCTTGATAAGCCCTTCTCTTCCCTCCGTTATGTCTGAGAGTTGTTAGGAACCACCCTGCCTCCCTCCCCAGTTGTCTCTGACAGGCGGACTTGTTGGTTATTGCTCCAGGAGTCTACTGCTGGATGGCAAACACCCCCAACGCACAATGACTTAAAACAAAACTGTTGGCCGGCTCCGTGGCTCACTAGGCTAATCCTCCATCTGCGGCGCCGGTACCCCGGGTTATAGTCCCGGTTGGGGCACCGGATTCTATCCCGGTTCCTCCTCTTCCAGTCCAGCTCTCTGCTGTGGCCCGGGAGGGCAGTGGAGGATGGCCCAAGTGCTTGGGCCCTGCACCCGCTTGGGAGACCAGGAGGAAGCACCTGATTCCTGGCTTCGAATCGGTGCAGTGCACTGGCCATAGCAGCCATTTGGGGGATGAACCAACGGAAGGAAGACCTTTCTCTCTGTCTCTCTCTCACACTGTCTAACTCTGCCTGTCAAAAAAAAAAAAAAAACACTGGTTTTTTAAAGATTTATTTATTTATTTGAAAGTCAGAATTACACACAGAGAGAGGAGAGGCAGAGAGAGAAGTTTTCCATCCGATGGTTCACTCCCCAATTGGCCGCAACGGCTGGAGCTGCGCCAATCTGAAGCCAGGAGCCAGGAGCCTCCTCCGGGTCTCCCACATGGGTGCAGGGGTCCAGGGACTTGGGCCATCTTCTACTGCTTTCCCAGGCCATAACAGAGAGCTGAATCAGAAGTGGAGCAGCAGGGACTTGAACTGGTGCCCATATAGGACCCCGGCACTGCAGGTGGCGGCTTTACCGGCTACACCACAGCGCCGGCCCCCATGGATGTATTTTATATGACCCTCTTGAAGGCACTCCATACTTGCAGAATCAGCTAGGGTCACTCAGCGACACTCAGTCGCAGTTGGGATGAGGTCCACGGTGGCCCCACTTCTATACCTTTTGCCTTGTGCGGTGACTGGAGGACTGATGTCAGCTAGGACTGCTGCTGGAGACTGCACCCACGCTGTCCCCAGGATGGCCCTCTTCGGGCGGTCCCACGACCTGCACAGTGACTGCTTCCCAGCTGCTGGCCTTCCTTGGCCTCACCTCACTCAGGCCTTGCACACCCTGCAGTACTGGAGGTGCAAGGAGAGAGGATTGAGACCCATCTCTCAAGGCGGGGAGAACTGGGGGCCACTCTGCACAACCACACGTTGTCTGCCGAGAGTCGTTTCCCTCCCTTTCTCTGAAGCTGGTGGCGCCCACCTCAAGGGACACGAGAGGCAAACAGGGGAAGCCCATCTCTCAGAATCCCCTATGCGTGGCCCCGGCTGGTGCGGCACCAAGAGCAGTTTGCTGGTGGCGTTTTGCGGAGAGTTTCCTCTCTGGTGACAGAGGAGAGGCCCCTAAGCCTTTCTTCCCAGCCTGAGAAGGCGCTGAGAGCAGCCCAGGGAGGTGAGGTGGCCACCCGAGACCGAGAGTGCAAAGTCTGCAGTCACACGGAATGGCTGATTCCCGGGCTCGGTGGCGTTACCAGCTGTGTCTGGAGAACGAGCCTTTACCCAAAGCCTTCCTAACATCCCAGCATGTTCTCCTAGCATTCTTTTTTTTTTTTCTTTTTAAAAAGATTTCATTTATTTATTTGAGAGGCAGAGTTACAGACAGAGAAGAGAGAGAGAGAGAAAGGTCTTCCATGCGCTGGTTCACTCCCCCAATGGCCACAATGGCTGGAGCTGATCCGACCCGAAGCCAGGAGCCAGGAGCTTCCTCCAGGTCTCCCACGTGGGTGCAGGGGCCCAGGCACTTGGGCCATCTTCCACTGCTTTCACAGGCCATAGCAGAGAACTGGATTGGAAGAGGAGCAGCCGGGATTTGAACTGGCGCCCATGTGGGATTCTGGCGCTGCAGGCAGAGGCTTAGCCCACTGTGCCACAGTGTCAGCCCCTCTCTGAGCATTCTTACCAAAGTCTTTTTGTTTTTTAAAATTCATTTATTTGAAAGGCAGAGAGAGGTCTTCCATCCACTGGTTCACTCCCTAAATGACCTCAACAACCAAGACGGAGCCAAGCGGAGCCAGGCTGCAGCCAGGAGCCCCGAGGGTCTCTCGCATGGGCTGCAAGGGCCCAGGCACCCGGGCCATCTCCCACTGCCGTCCCGGCTCCTCGGGGACAGGAGCCTGCACGTCGACACGGGATGCCGGCTTCGCGAGCAGCGGTTCCTGGTGCGCACCACTTCCCCAAGTCTGAGTGCGCGAGGCCGCGAGCCGTGAGAAGTCCGTGCTTTCCCGGCGGTTCCATGACGTCGTTGTGTGCCTCTTGCTCCACTGCAGGGTTTAGAGAAGCGGCTGGGTCCCCAGAGCCCCCTTCTCCCCAAGACCCAGCGCCAGTGCTAGCGTTTCCGGTTGGGGGGCTCCTGTGGCAGCGGCCGCTCGGACCTGCGTCCTGCGGTGTGTTTCGCGTCATCCCTCGCCTCCATGCGCCACACGCGACAACCCTCCCTTCCCAACGGGGACAGCCGGAAGATGTCTCCAGGGGGCAGAACTCTCATCCCCTGGTGCGACCAGGCTAGAATAAGCCAGAAGCAGACTGTCTCCCGCTGCCCGCGCCTGGGTCAGGGTGGTCTTGCCTGGGCTCCCCGCTGCCAGATGGTGCGCGCAGTGGGGACAGAGGAGCTCCGGGCGGCCTCACCGGGTTTGCCGGAAACATTCGAACGCATTCTGCAGCCCCGGCCCCGGGAAGGCGTCCTCGTGGCTTCCCCAGGTCCGTGCGCGCAGCCAGACTGCGCGGCTCGGAGGCGGGGTCCCGTCCGTGGGTGTGGCCCCCGGTGGGCTGCGGAGAGCAGGGTGCAAATGCGGAAACGAGGGTGCGTTTCCTCGTTAGGGCCCCTCACTCCTGGATTTGAGATGAGCCAGGGAGGGAAAACAGGAAGCCGGTTCCGGCGGGCGGAGCAGCGCCACCGGCCTGGAGGACAAAGGGGCCGATCCGGATGGGAGGATGGGACGTGCCGGCCCCCCGCGGCCAGCGCAGCTCCCCGCGCCCCAGGCGGGAGGCAAAGCGCAGCCGGCTCCCCAGGGGGGAAACTGGGTGTGTTTGGGGTTTGTCTGACATCGCGGAATGAATCACTCATTCTTCTGTTCTCAATAAACCCGCCAGCCTCCCGGGGCCCTGCCCATCCTCACACAGCCCTGTTTTGTATCAAATAAATTGGAACCGCTGGCGTCTGATTCATCCGCACTGCATGCAGCGGGAGCAGCGCTTTGGGGGGGATGCCCCCTTCCCTCGGAAAACAGGAAGTTAGAGCAGCCCAGGAGAGAGGGGGCTTGGGGCTGCCGGCCGCCGCAGACCCACCCGCTCCCACCTGTGGCCTCAGCCTGCCCAGGGCTCCCCGCTCCTGACCCCGCACTGCCTGGGCCCCTGGCCGCGTCCACACGGCCCTCCTCTCCGGTGCCAGCAGTGCTCCTGTTCTTGTTTGGAGAGAAGGTTCCGTCTTCCTTCTCACCTCTCCTGTTGGCTCCTGTCTTAATCCTTGGCCCGCAAGCAAAGCTTGAATGTGCTTTTTCCTCCGATAAGTTGGAAAGCTGGGGGGCAGGTGCCAGCAGTGTCCCGCCCGCCCTCGACGGTCCACCAATGCCGGCTTAGGGCTGAAAAGCAGCACGGGGAGGATCCTTCAGCACGGGCTCCTGGCCCAGGAAACGTCGTGGAGTTTACTTAATTGCAGGTGAGAGGAAACCCAATGCCAAGGGGCCTAGATACAGGAGGGGATGTATCGGCTCATGTGGCTGAAAAGGCAGTGGCTTCAGGTCCAGCTGGATCCAGGAGCCAAAAGCGTTGGTCAGGAATTATTCTCTGTTTCTCAATAGTGCTGCCTTCTCTTGGCCTCATTGTTAGGCAGCTTATCCCCTGCGAAACACCGCCAGCTGCTTCGAGCTCCCACCCCTGTGGCTGCAGAAAGCCCAGCTGGGTGTGGACCGACACGCGGCGGCTGTGGCCCTCTGTGCTTTAGCAGCTCCGGCTCCTACTTCTCCCTGACCTCAGGCAGTCAGCGCTGGCAGTCAGCGGGTGGGAGGCAGCATCAGTCAAACCAGCGCGAGCACAAGGCCTTTCCCGGAAAAAGGGACTTAGGGGTCCCCTGGGGGGCAGCGGCCTTGACCTCGCCTCAGTCCAGGAGGAATCGGGAGTCGTTAGGAGCCCAGCAGCCGCTCCCTCCCTGCGGCCCCCTCGGGCGCCGACTCCAGCCTTCGCCCTCTGCGCGCCTGGCTGTTCTGCATGAACTGCGGCCAGGAGCCAGCAGCTCCCAGCCCCGCCGCGCAGGGCCCGCCCCTGCTCTACCGGCTTCCCGGGAATCAGAATCTGATTGGGCCGCTGGCATGAGAGGCAGGTCACATGACCTCTGTGCAGCCTATGGGAGCAGTGGAGGCCGGCTGCGGAAGGGGCGGGGCAGGGACCGGATGTAGCTGGCTCTCTTCCTTGCTCCTGCGATGGGGAGACAGCAAACCCCAGAGTGGTGGCCTGGTTGGTGTCGCTTCTTGCTGTTTGGGGGGCTCGGCTCCCGTCGCGAACCCGGAGACGTCTGCTTGGTGTCCCGCCACCTGCACCCATCATTCCTGTGGGCGCGGCCTCTCGGCCGTGGCACCCCGGTCATTCTCTGTTGTGGGGGCTGTCCTGGGCATTGCAGTAGTGTCCCCTCAGGTGTGACAGCACAGGTGTCCCCTCAGGTGTGACAGCACAGGTGTCCCCTGATGTCGCCCCCAGTTGAAAACCACTGGTGCAGTCCTCAGCTACCACCTGGCGTCACCCGTCCTCAGATACAGCTGACGTCACCCGTCCTCAGATACAGCCTGGCGTCACCCGTCCTCAGATACAGCTGACGTCACCCGTCCTCAGATACAGCCTGACATCACCCATCTTCAGCTACAGCCTGGCGTCACCCTTCCTCAGCTACAACCTGGTGTCACCCGTCCTCAGATACAGCTGACGTCACCCGTCCTCAGGTACACCTGGTGCCACCCATATTTAGATACAGCCTGACATCACTCATCTTCAGCTACAGCCTGGTGTCACCCGTCCTCAGATACAGCTTAGCGTCACCCGTCCTCAGATACAGCTGACGTCACCCATATTTAGATACAGTCTGACATCACTCATCTTCAGCTACAGCCTGGTGTCACCCGTCCTCAGGTACACCTGGTGTCACCCGTCCTCAGGTACACCTGGTGTCACCCGTCCTCAGGTACACCTGTTGTCACTCATCCTCAGGTACACCTGTTGTCACCCACCCGTATTTGTAGTCTGACATCACTCATCTTCAGCTACAGCCTGGTGTCACCCGTCCTCAGGTACACCTGGCGTCACCCGTCCTCAGGTACACCTGGCGTCACCCGTCCTCACCCCGGCCCACCTCCTCTGCTCCCCCCAGGGCGTGTCTCGAAGGAGGGGTCCAAACTCACCAGCTCCTCCCTCCTTGCCCTTCTCTCTGAATTTCATGCCTGTCACGGCGCTGAAGTGACAGGACCTGGGGCACTGATGGCCCTCGTGGAAGCCACTGGTTTAATCTCCGTCCTCCTTGGGCTTGACCTCTCAGAGCAGTCGCTGTGACCGGCATTCCTCCTGGAACACCTTCCGAATCCCTGTGTCCTCACACACCGCCACGCTCCTTCTGGCTCACCGACTGTTTCTTCTGGGAAAGTGGAATAAAAAATGAGTTTATCTTGCTGCAAAAAGTTTTGAAATGTACCTGCATGCGGGAGGCATCGGGGTTCATTGGGAAATGTGCATAATTAAAAATGATTCACGGACCTCAAAATTTTTTTTGTATCAAAATCAATCTATCTTTAAAAAATCTTTATTTATTTTGTTTGAAAGTCAGAGTGACAGAGTGAGAGGGAGAGACAGAGAGCAAGAGATACCGGGAGAGGGAAGAGAGGAGGAAGAGGGAGAACTTCCACCTTTTGGTTCACTTCCCAAAGGGCCACGATGGCTGGGGCTGGGTCAGGCCCAAGCCAGGAGCCAGGAACTCTATCTGAGTCTCCCTCCTGGTTGGTGTCCCTCCCTCCACTGCCTCCCCAGGTGCATGAGTAGGGAGCTGGAATGGAAGTGGAGCAGCCGGGATGCTGGATATAGGGGTTGCCAGGGGCAGCTTAACCCACTGCGCCACAACGATAGCCCTTCGACTGGTGTCTTTTTTGTTGTTGTTGTTAAAGATTTGTTTATTTATTTGAAAGGCAGAGTTAGAGAGAGGCAGAGACAGAGAGAGAGAGAGACAGAGAGAGAGAGAGAGAGAGGTCTTCCAACCCTTGGCTCACTCCCCAGTTGGCCACAAAGGCTGGAGCTGCACCAATCCGAAGCCAGGAGCCAGGAGCTTCTTCTGGGTCTCCCACGTGTGTGCAGGGGCCCAAGGACTTGGGCCATCTTCTGCTGCTTTCCCAGGCCATAGCAGAGAGCAGGATCAGAAAAGGAGCAGCCGGGACTCGAACCGGCGGCCACATGGGATACTGGCACTGCGGGCAGCGTCTTTACCCACTAAACCACGTGTCGGCCCCAAGTTGACCTATATTAACTCTTAAATCCAACATATGGAATTTGGCTTTCTAAATCTATTTTTTAATCAAAAGATTTGCTTAGTTGTTTGAAAGGCAGAGCTACAGAGATGAAAGAGAGAGAGAGAGAGAGGAAGAGAGAGAGAGAGAGAGAAATCTTCTACCCATTGGTTCATTCTCTGAATGGCTGCAATGCCCAGGGCTAGGCCAGGCAGAAGCCAGGAGCCAGGAGCTTCACCTAGGCTCCCACTTGGGTGCAGGGACCCAGGGACTGGGGCTGCCCCCGCTGCTTTCCCAGGTGCTTTATCAGGGAGCTGAAACAGAGCAGAGCAGTGCGGAGAGGAACCGTTGCCCACGTGGGATGCTGGCATTGCAGGCGGCAGTCTGCCTCCATGCCAGCCCCCTGCACCAACGTTTAAAACATATTTTTCTTTAAGCAAATAAAAGACAGGTTAAAGCTCAATATTTACCACTTCTAAGGCAATCAGGTTTTAGAAGAGTCTCAAGTTTACCGGAAGCTTCTGCACACCCCCCACCCAGCTTCTCCCGTGAGTGACAGCTCATGTAAACGTCGGGTATTTGCTGGAACGCACACGCTGGTGTTAATGCTGTATTGCCAACTCCAGCCCGTATTTCGCACAAATTCCAGGCGCTTCCGCAACACCGTGTCTCTGCCCCAGGGTCAGTTGTCCTGGCTCCTGGCGCTCTCTGCGGCCACTGCTCGCACTGTCTCTGGTGGGGATGACCTTGACGGTTTGTGGGTGCAGGGCAGGGGCTTTGCAGCGCGGCCCGAGCACGGGGCTCGTCTGACGTCTCACAAGCGGTGGTGCTGAAGGAACACGCCCGCCGCGTCCCCTCCTGGCAGTCTGACCTTGATCGTGGGACAGAGACTGCGTCTGCCAGGCTTCTCGGCTGTGCGGTATCTTTCTCCCCTTCCTGCTTCTTATCGGCCCTCCCTCAGCCTGCTCGTTGGCCCCTACAGGGCTGTGGGACGGTTCTTCGCTGCGAGAAGGAAGCGGCACCGTCGTATTAGTGGAAATGCCATTTGCAGCAGGGTTTCTCGGTTCCTTTCAAAGCGTGTGGTTCCTCACGGGAGGAGCCTCCTGTCCACAGCACTGCTGCCTCAAAGAAGGTTCTGGAACCAGCTCTGGTTTCCTTCCATGCTAACCACATCCAGATTTGAATGATTTATCACAAAAATAGATTTCTCTCGCATTTCCTGTGTTTCAGTGCCTTGAACTTACAGAACAAGGAGTGACCCCGTGGTGGGGGACTGCTGGGTGCCCCCGTGGACAACAAGTGGCCTTCTATGTCTTGTCCACAGAGAGTGGCCGGAAGCCTGCCCGTGGTGTAAACAGAGCTTGTATTTCAACCAAACAAATGCCCCTGCACCTCCCTCTGTGCCCTCAACAGTGTGTCCGTTGTTTTTCTTTCTCAAGCTAAATAAAAATTTTACATTTTTCACTCAGTGTCAGCATCCTTTCTTCTTTGCTTTGTTAAAGCTGCCAAACAGGGGTCAGTGCTGTGGCGCGGTGGGTGGAGCCTACGATTTTGCCGCCGGCATCCCATATGGGCTCTGGTTCGAGTCCTGGCTGCTCCACTTCCAATCCAGCTCTCTGCTGTGGCCTGGGAGTGCAGTGGAGGATGGCCCAAGTCCTTGGGCCCCAGCACCCACGTGGGAGACCTGGAGGAAGCTCCTGGCTCCTGATTTCAGCCTGGCACAGCCCCAGCCATGATGGCCATTTGGGGAGTGAACCAGCGGATGGAAGATCTCTCTGTCTTGTTCTCTTTCTCTATAACTCTGACTTTCAAAAATAAATAAATGAATATTTTTTTAAAAAACTGCCAAATATTCCTTGCCTTAGAAAAGCACTTTGGGGGCCAGTGCCATGGCTCATTTGGTTAATCCTCCACCTGCGGCACCAGCATCCCATATGGGTGCCGGGTTCTAGTCCCGGTTGCTCCTCTTCCAGTCCAGCTCTCTGCTGTGGCCCGAGAAGGCAGTGGAGGATGGCCCAAGTGCTTGGGCCCTGCACCCCATGGGAGACCAGGAGGAAGCACCTGGCTCCTGGGCCGTGGAGGCCACTTAGGGGTTGAACCAATGGAGGGAAGACCTTTCTCTCTGTCTCTCTCACTGTCTAACTCTGCCTGTCAAATAAAAAAAAAAAAAAAAGAAAAGAAAAAAAAGAAAAGCACCTTGAGTTACAAAGAAGGGGAGAGGTATCAGAGAGAGGAGAATGCTATGTTTTTTTTTTGTTTGTTTTTTGTTTTTTTACTTTTTTAGGTAATTCATCTGCTGGGTAGTACATTAAACTTGGTAGATTTTTTTTTTAAGATTTATTTATTTGAAAGGTAGAGTTAGAGAGAGAGACAGAAAGAAAGAGACATCTTCCATCTGCTGGTTCTCTCCCCAAAGGTCCACAACAGCTGGGACTGGGCCAGTCTTAAGCCAACACCCTGGAGCTCCATCTGGGTCTCCCATGTGGGCTGCAGGGGTCCAGGCACTTGGGCCGTCCTCCGCCGCTTTCCCAGCGCCTTAGCAGGGAGCTGGATCAGAAGTGGAGTCCAACCTGCGCTCCGAAGTGGGACACAGGCGTTGCAGGTGGCGGCTTCCACCACTGCGCCACTACGCCAGCCCCTGAGGGCGCTGTTGTGAACAATGTGTTTGTGGAGAGAATGGTGTGTGCTGCTGGGACCGGGAGGCCCTGGGAAGGGGTGGGTTTTGCTAATGGGGCACTCCCCACCCCCACCTCCCCAGGAGCAAACACCATGCACGTAAACTTGTCTTCATCGGGCTTTCCCTTGGGAAGGGGCTTTTGACCCCTTGCTGCAAAGTGTGGACACAACTTGACAATCCCTGACATTCTGTGGATAATTATACAACTCACAGATTTTGAATTATTTGTAAACCACATACCTGTGTTAGGTCAGACTGTATGACTGCCATTTTTGTAGGAAAAATAGCCAAATGCTGCAATTTCATATGGTTCAATAGCTTAGAATTTTTTTTACACACTAAGCAAAGTGTATTTTTTAAGAACTTTTAAAAACTAATGTATTAGAAAGTCCACATTTATTTTTACTTTATGAATAATGTACATCCATAGAAACGCTAATCATTTTTGGTGATCTTGGGCAAAATACTTACGATTGCTTCCTCATCTGGAGAGGCAGTCGTAGCCCAGGTTCATGGCGTTGGTGACTACACAGCAGGGGTGTGAGTGAAGCACTTGCTGTGATACGGCACAAAGCGGAGCCGCTGCTCGCTGCAGCCGTCATGAGGTCACGTGCCGGGGCTGCACCGGGCTCATCACGTGGGCGTCCAACGAGGGACCCCCTCCAGGGGCTTGGGCATCTCCCCCTCCTGCTGATGCAGCCTGCTCACGGCCCCTCCCCCAACTTGGGTCGACAAAGCTCCCCTTGCAGAGAACTGTGAAGGTGCCCTTGTTTTGTGATTTTAATGTGCTCTGACTCCACCTGCCACCCCGACTTTGTTCCAGCTCGGGGCCGCCCCAGTCAGCTGCTGGCTCCGGTCTCTGCCCGGCTCCTTCCCCTGGGTCTTCAGCCCACCAGAGAGGTCTGCTTAAGCCCTGTCTCTGGGAACGGAAACGCGAGACAGATTTCTTTTTCTTGTCAGTGTGTTTGGATGCACAAACACGGCTTCCAGAACCCCAACGAGAAATGGACCGAGACTCTCAAGTGGGTTCGCACGCCTGCGCTGTGTCCGGCCAGCACTCACCCCACAGCGGGGCCTGGCGGCTCCTCCGGCTCTCTCTCGGTGTTCAATTCCCCGGCTAAGCCCTTCTCCTCAGAAAAGCTACCTCCACGTTCCAGTCACCTGGTTGTGGGTTCCTCTCACCTACCCCTGGCTCCGGACACCTGCTCACTCGCTCTCTGCCCTTAGACCTGTCCCTCCTTGCCCAGGAACCTCTCTCTCTGTAGTTCTGACTTTCGAAAGATTTATTCATTTATTTGCAAGTCAGAGTTACAGAACCAGAGGGAGAGACACACGCATACACACACACACACAGATGTTTCCATCTGCTGGTTCACTCCCCAGATGACTACAATGATCAGGGATGTGCCTGGCCAAAGAGCCAGGAGCTTCTTCCACGTCTCCCACATGGGTGGCAGGGGGCCAAACACTTCCACTGCTTTTCTCAGGCCGTTAGCAGGACGCTGGATCGGAAGTGGAGCAGCCGGGACTCGAACCTGTCCCCATATGGGATGCCTGGTGTCACAAGCAGCAGCTTCCTGCTACACCACAGTCCCAGGGCTC